CTTGCCCCCCACCAGACACACAGGCTGTGACACGCAGTCCAGCTCCAGCTGCACCGAGCCCCTCATTTGCCTCACACAGGTCCCCCCCAGTAGCTAGTTTGGGCACACCATTCCCACCCCATGGCTGGAGGTTAAAGACCCCCACTCACTTCAGTAGCTGCACTGGGACGCCACTCACTCCAGTAGGTGACACAAAATCCCTTGACACACAGGCCTCACCAGTAGCTGGTACTCGGTCCTTGCAGCATACACTCGTATGGAGTGCGAGATGATGCAGAGAAATAGTTAAGAAAACATTTAATAAGAAAATATGAAAAGATAGGGCAGACTGTGGTGACCAGGCACAGGGCTCAGCCAAACACTTCCCAGTTTATACCTGAGTGGCCCCTTTTATACCCCTTTCTGCTTCCCCCTGCTTTGTTTCTCCTGGTTCCCCTTCCCATCCCCACAGGTCCATTCCCACACCCCGCCCAGCCCGTGTCCGGGGTCCCCCTGGTTCACACACTCAGCAGTTGCAAAGCCCAGGCTGATCATCCTGGAAGGGTCAGCACCAGTGTGGTTTCTGGATAGCCCATGAATTAGTGCGAGCGGTGACGCCTGGTTCCCTTCACTGCCTCCCTTGTCATCTGGTAGTCAGGTCTGTTTCCCTGCATGGTCTTGTTCCCAGCTTCTCCTTTTCATATTATTGGTTGCACTGAAGGTCCTTGACCCTTAACGGAGCAGAGACACACTCTTATAGTATGTTTCAGCAGTGATGTGCTCTCCAGGTGCTCAAGAGAAGGAATAAATATAAAGCAATACTTAAGGCAGCAGTCTCATTTCTACCCCACAAATCCATGGAGTGTGTGGTGGGGACCATTTCACTCAACCCTCCCTAGAAGCTCCTTGGAGTTTCCAAAAGTTGCTGTCTCCAAGTTAGGCAAGTCTGAATTTCACCTGAGCTTGAACCAAAAAATCTCTTCTTCAGACTGCTCCTGCCCTGACTGCCGTGTTCAACAGCAGGAGGATGCCATCAGTGAAGCCATTCACATGATCCAGAAAGGAACTGACTTTATGGATGCGAAGAATGTGATTTAAAAATAATCTGCTGGCTTTCTTTTGAACATAAAGTGGCTGCTATTGAGTCAGACTTTCCCTGAAGATGCATGAACCTCTATTTCTTATCTTTGCTATTTTTCGTGGCTTCTTTGGGAGGGGCTCCTTCACCTGGCTGCAGCTGAGGTCAGGATGCTTGTTTGCTCCTTCAGTGAATTTTGGTCATTTGGGTAAACTAGGCTGGAAGGAAAGGAAGGAAATGAGGGGAAGGTTTGATGTTGATATGGGTTCACATCAACATCTATGGCTTGCTGTGGCTTGTGCATGAGAACAAGCCTTTGCAGACAGCTCTGCATGGTAAAGCAGTTCCCCTCTTCCAGCCGCAAGAGGTGCCCATGGACACTGAGGACAGAGAGGCTGAGCTGGAGGTACCTGTTGTGATGGGAGCATCTCTGCTCGCAGCTGCCTGGAGCTTCTGGAGAGGCAGAAGCCCTGTCTCAGGGAGGAAGACAGGTCCAAGGTATTGGCACTGGATTGGGAACCAAAGTGTCTTGTTCTAGCAGCTTCTCACCAGTGGCTGGCATGACACTGGTCGTCCACTTCTGGCAACCGAGTCAGCCAAGCAAGGCAGGCCTGAGACCGGGCAGTTCAGAAGGCTTACTGTTGCTTTGCACTGTGGATTTTGCATTGAAAGGTCAGGATTCAGGTGCTGGTAAACCTGACTGCCCTTCTGATGCTCCCGTAAGCTGAGCAATGGGAGCAAAAGCAGTCTGCTTTCCCAGGCCTAGCTGGACTTCTCCAGGTCTGCGATGAGGTACGGGTCTTTCATCTTGAGGATCTTGTAGAGCTGCTCCTGAGCCTCCAGCCCTTTCTTCTCAGCTAGCTCCAGCAAAACTCGGCTCCTCCTTTGACAGGTATCTTGACCTTGTACCTCCTCTTCTTCATCACTGTTGATGACGTTTGCATCCCGTAAGTGTAGCAGAACGGCGGAGAGCTGCCTCATCCTGGAGCAAAGCTTGGTCTTGTGCTTCTTCATGAAGGTTGCACCTAGCAGACACCAAGCCCATGTTATTGTGCTGCATGAGGCCAGGCAGTCGCAGCTGAGTGCCATGCTGCAGTACGTGGCATCCTAAGCCAGTGGACACCATGGCTGTGCTCCCTGTCCCACAGCCACATGTCTCCATCCCTCCACCAAAAAGGATGGGCACCTGCTGCACCAGCAGTGAGAGCACTGGAGGCAGGGCAAGGAAGGGGTTGGGAATGTGAAGTCAGAGCTGGAGGAGGTAAGGTTGGCCAGCAGGCCCCATCAGGTGCTGGCAACTGTCCTCTCTGGGATTCTTACAGTGTCTGGGTGTGAAGTCACTGTCCTGCCCCTGGCCCTGGAAGGTGAAGAGCTCCTAACTCAGAGCACAGGTCGCTCAAAGCTCTGAAATCTTGCAGGGTTGCAAGTGGTTTGTGAAGAAACAGAGCCTGGAAAGGCAGCCAACACCAGCGGGGTGCTGAGCAAGCTGTGGGTCAGTGCAGTGGGCAGCAGTGCCTGCCTTCTCCTCCCAAGCCTCCACCTAGTCCTCCTACGTGAGGCTGAAATAGGCACCCAGATGGGCATCTCCTTGTAGAATCACAGGATGGTTTGGGTTGGAAGACACCTTTAAAGATCACCTAGCCCAACACCCCTGCCATGGGCAGGGTCATCTTTCACCAGATCAGGTTGCTCAAAGCCCCATCCATCCTGACCTTGAACACTTCCAATGATGGGGCATCCACAACTTCACTGGGCAACCTGTTCCAGTGTCTCACCAACCTCAGCATAAAAAATTTCTTCCTTATGTCCAATCTAAACCTTCCCTCTTTCAGTTAAAAACCATTACCCCTTGTCCTGTCCTTGCTTTTGTCTGCCACCCTACTCCCCTGGTGCTCTCGGGCAGGTTGTTGGCCAGTGTGGTGACTCCACATGCATGGCAAGGAAAAAGAATAATGCTGAAATGTCCAAATTCGTGTCTGTCTGAGACAGGCCTATCTGCCTCAACCTGTGGCTTAGCTGCTTGGGTGTCCTCTTGGATCTTGCCTTTCATTCATAAGACGAGATGCAAGAGCTAATGATGAAGTGTTGTGGCCCTGGAGAAATTAGGCTGGGATAACACCTGCAAAACAGCTGGGCAGCATGTTGTTGTCACTGTACACTGTATTTGAAGCAAGTGGAAAGCAAAGCCCCTTCTTCAGAAACTCCTGGAGCTGCTGTAAAGGTGGCCCTGCCATCCCCTCTGCCAATGCCTGGTTGCAGGCTCCTTCCCAGGGGCATCACTGCTGTGGAAAACTCTTATTTGACACAGGGGCCATCAGCCCCGAAGCTGGCTGTATGGGATGCAACAGCTGTACCACTTACTAGAACTCCAATGAAATATTATTTACGGACTGTGAACTGTGCTAGCTGCAGCTCATTCTAACAATAGCATGTCTGTCCGCAAAGGTGGCAAACCAGAGAGAAAGGAGAGAGATCACTGAATATGCCATCACTGAAATGACGGTGCCTAATCTTCCACGGCATCTTCCTGAGTAGCCTAATCCTATACAAAGCTGTTAGCCATTCCTCCTACTGTTCCTGCCTATCTGTGGGGAACTCAATAAAAGGCTCTGGGCTCTGCTTGGTTGTAGGTGTTACTTTTAGGGGGTGCTGGATTAGACTTACAGAGAAGGGGTCTCAAGGCACACTGAGCAGTACCATACCCTGTGCCCATGAGATGATGCTGCCCGCAGCTCCTCTGCTGAGCTTTCCCACAGGGGACCCCATGGGTGGGTGTTGCTACGTGAAGTTAATGGCATGCGTGGTGGCTGCTGAGCCAACTGGAGGTGTGAAGATTAGGAACCTGCTGCTCTGTAGCTGGGTTCGCCTCTGTCCTCCCAGAGGACACACAAACATGAGTCTGGGCACCTGCCATCACTAACCCTACTCCATCATCTGCTGTCCTGACTGAATTTCTGCATGGGACCCAAGTCAGTACGGTCAGCCCTAAAGCAGGATAGTTGTAAGCAATGGTCTCTTGATGCCACGAGAGAGCAGTCCCCACACCATCAACAGGCTTGCTGTGCGCCATGTTCATGATGCTGCTGTGATGCACGGTGAAGGCAGGCTCTGGTCCATCAGGCCTTGCCCCAGTCTTGTGCGTTCTGGGTGTTTTTTCACACACTGGTGTCACACCCAGCAAATCTAGAAGAGTGGAACATGTAGTTTTTTAAGATGTTGATTTTCACTAAAAGTTTGGTATTCTCCTTACCTCCTCCACATCACACAGTGGTTGCACTAGCACATCCATGAGTGTTCATTACATTAATGGACCTTTAAAAATAAGTCAGATTGCTATGCAAACAGTAGCCAAGAGAACAGAGATAGTGCTGCCATGCTGTCTTAAACCACAGCATCTGAACTCCACATTAAATTGGAAGCTCTGGTCTACTGGCATATGGGTGTGCTTTCAGGTCCCTATTCGTCAGTGGCCAATTGTTGCATATGCAGGGTTTGCTTTCCCTGTGACCACAAAATGTGTGAGGTCTGCTTGAGTGGTGCGCCTCTGCTTTTATTAATCCCCTAGATGGACCTGCTGTTCCTACCTGATCTCAGTAGTGCCCTCCAGACCACAGTGTCATTGCGTGTGTCTGTCATAAGGAGCCCAATTTCCTCTGCCATGTTCCCAATGTAGATCTCGACAAAGAGCTGCTGTTCCTTTGGACTCTTGTAGCAAAATGGCAAGTGTGCCTGTAAAGGTAAGAAACAAGTTGAGTCTCTCTCACCATGGGGAGCTGCAATGGATTCACATACATCATCCTGTGTTTCCTGGCTGTACCAGCAAGAGGAAAGACAGAGGAAGATGCACATGTCAGGGCTCTGCTGTGCTGCTAATATCACAAATTTTGGTTGGAAGGGACCTCTGGAGAGTCTTATCTGACCTACCTCTCAAAGACGGACCAATGCCAAGTCTAGATCTGCTCAGCCGGGCCTTTGTCTAGCTGAGTACTGAAAACCTCAAAGAGCAGAGATTTACCACCTTCTAACCTTCTCTGATGGCTGCATCTCCACTGAGTGATAAAATTTTTCCTGATCTTCCCAGGTTGCAACTTAGGATTTTACCGCTTTTACCTGACACTGCCGAGAGCTCGGCTCTGTCATCTTTACAACTGCTCTTCAAGGCAGAGTGCCCAGTTACTACCTGGTCATTCCAGGAAGTGCGAAAACCAAACCCTACCTCGTGGTTCACAGGTTTAAGACTGTCTCTCAGTTAAGCTGAAGGCCCTGGCTGTTTGGAGCTGTGCTCAGCTCAGTAGCAGGGTTGTAGCTGCAAGGGGGAATGATGAATAAGCTGGAGGGGAGGGGTGCCATTCAGAGGAACCTGGAAAGGTTGGAGAACTTAGCTGGCAGGAAGCTCACGAAATTTGGCAAAAGCAAATGCAGAGTCCTGTGTCTGGGTTGGAATATCCCCACACCAGACAAGAGCCTGGGCACTGGGTGGACACAGTAAGCAGCTTTGCGGGGAAGGACTTGGGAGTCCTGGTAGGCATGCAAGTTGAACAGGAGTCAGCAGTGTGCCCTGGCAGCAAAGGCTGGCTGCATCCTGGACTATATTAGCAAGACCATAGCCAGCACAGTTAGGTCAGGGATTCCTTCCCTCTGTTCAGTACTTGTGAGACAACATCTGGGCACTGGGTCCCGTTTGGGGCTTCCCAGTACAAGAAAGAGATGGACATCCTGGAGCAAGGCCAGCTCCAGGCTGGAGTGCATGATGTGCAAGCAGAGGCAGAGGCAATTGGGTTTGTTTGACATGGAGAAGAGAAAGTCATGGGGAGAACTAGTCTCTGTCTTTAACTATGTGAAGGGGGACTAAAGAAAAGACAGAGCCAGCCTCCTGGAGGTGCACAGTGATGAGACAAGACGCAACAGGCACAGGCTGCAGCAAGGGAAATGGTAATAGGGGAAATGAGATAATAGGGGAAAAAACCCACAATCAGGGTGTTACAACACTGGACTAGAAACTCAGAGAGCCTGTGGTATCTCCATCCTTGGAGATATTCAAACTTGACCAGACATGGCCTTGAGCACCTTGATCTATCTTTAAAACTCGCATGCTTTGAGCAAGAGGTTGGACCAGAGACCTCCTGAGGTCCCATTCAACATAAGTTTCTCTGATTCCCTTTTCATGATTATGGTGCAGTGCAGGCCCATGAAAGGAGATTTTCATAACCAGACATGAAGGTGCCATGGGACTGTCATCAGCTGCTCTCAGGATGTCACAAACTCCTGTATAAAACAAGTAACCACAAGGACTAAATGGCCAAATCTTCCCAGATTTTCCCAGACTTGCAATCTGATTGCCACAGGGCATGGTGCCCAAAATCAGAAATCCTCAAACAGAGTTTCAATAGAGAAAGAAGTCATGTCACATCATGGCACAGAGAGAAAGCCTCTCTCCAGTCCTGCTTCTGAGCTGAAGAAAACTCACTGCAGAGGAGATGAAGATGAAGGACTTGGGACCACATCTGAGTCAACACCTCTGAAATTCCTTCTTGATATGCAGCTATGGTAAGTCCAACAAGTCCCACATTATGATTTCTGCCATAAGGAAAAAAAAAAGCAGCCCCTTTAGGGCTTTGGGGTGTGCTCCATGCTCTTTCTGGGGATGTGTATCGTGAAATACCATTGCCACTTGTAATCAGTACGGCTCCCTGCACCTCTGGCTCTGAGACCTAGTAAGACAGATTCTGGTAGCAGAAGATGGCTGAAGACAGAGACTTGTATTTTCTATTTCACTGCAGGAAAAAAAAGGGGAACAATCCCACTTACTTCAGGCATTATCACCACAGAATTTGTACTGGTCAGATGGTAAATGCAGCTGAAGAACAGAGGGTTGAATGGAGGAGGCTTGGGAATAAACTTTGAATTCCAATCCATTTCTTGTTTTTCAATGGCCTGTAAACACCAAGCATCTCTTTTGAGAGAGGAAAAAAAAAAAGAGCCGTGAACTGGAGGTAGACTTCAGAAAGTCAAGAAAAGAGGAGACCAGCCCAGTCACAACAGACCACTGAGTGTGTATTACAGGCAGTGCTGTGCTTCAGGGGCCAGGCAGCTCCCACTTGGTGCAGGCAGGAACCTACCTTGTGCAGGCAGGAAAATTGGCAGGGTAATGCACCATCACTCTGTAAAAGACAGTAAGGGCTTGCACACAACAAGAGAACGGCTGGTATGCAGCTACCTATTGCTGTGCCTGGCAGTGGTCAGCAAGTCCTACATCTGCTCCGTGTTGCAGAGCATCCTGTGCCATGGCTTCACTCATGCTAGGACATGCTGTCTGAGCCAAAAACACAGAGGGTGATTCCTGGAGACACCTGTGAAAGAGGAGAGTAGGGGAGGCAGGAGCAAGGATGCTGTCCTGCAGTGGGAGATGAGGGCACAGGACCATGTGTGAATCAGAGGCTGGTGGCAGAAAAACTGGGAGGCATCTCTGCTTATCAAATCCAGTTCCTGCTACTGCAGCCACCCCAGATGTCATCCTTTTTTAACCCGGTCAAGCTCCCTCTGTCTTACCTGCTTCACAGAGTTGTCATCTGGGATCAGGTAGAGGTGAAGAGTTGTATCTGCAGCACTGAGCTGCTGGAAGATCAGCACCATGGAGTGCATAGGGAGTGAATTTAAGGTTGAACGTAACCTCCTCCAAAGCACCCCAAGCAGTGAGAAGCTGGGATTCTCCAGGACAGCAGAGAAAGCTGTCAGTCTGGTTGGTCTCTCCAGGGTCAGCTTCCCAGATTTAAAATGCGCAATGGAGCACAGGCTGGTGTTTACATCTTCTGCAAGAGACAGCGAAGGCAACAAGGTTCTGTTTAGTTGTCCTGGCACCCTCTCTGCCTGCCTCTGTCTCTTTAAGGCTTTAGCAGCAGAAAGGAGACATGCGCCCACACACGATGACATGCTTAGGTCCCATGTGTGCCCTGGGCTTTTGGGGTTTGGCAGGGAGTGTCGTGGTTTAGCCCCAGCCAGCAACTAAGCACC